CGAGGCCCTGGGTTCGAACCTCAACACCATATCAAAATAAATAAACAAAATAAATGTGTACAACTAAAATAAAAAAATATTTTTAAAAACCTATTAGAGAGAGAAAGAGAGAGAGAGAGAGAGAGAGAGAGGGAGGGAGAGAGAGAGAACCATTAATAACCTGGGACCTGGGGACTTTGTACTGAGACACCTGTGACCCAAACACCTTTTGTCTGCCACTTCCCTTCTTCCACAGCAATCTCTGGCCTGGTCCTGAAGCCATGAGGGGTTACTGTCCGAGGCTGTGATCCAGGTCCCCAGGGAGCTGTGAGTACACCCAGGGGCACCTGCTTCCTGCTGTTACCCCACTCTTTGTAGATCACACAAATGTGAGAGCATGGGGACACTTTGGAAATTGTATAAGGCCCTCCAGCCTTTCCTTATACTCCCTATTTTATACAAATTCTCTTTATAAGAAATTGAAACACAGAAAGTAAAAACACTTGCCCAAGGGGACACAGGCCAAAGTGGCAGAACTAAGACTTTTCTGAACCCAGGTCTCCGAATCTGCTTTTCCCTCCCCTTCTTTTCTTCTAATTCTGGAACCTGGAGGCCTTGGATAATAATAAACACCAGTAAACTCAGTAAGTGCCTTTCTTTTGCCCAGTAACCACCCTCCTTCTTATGACCAATCAGACCTAATCCTGAACATTCTGTTTGGCCTCCATCTGGGGCAAAGGCCTGTTACAGTTTATCAAACCCTGAGGGTGTGCTCCGGAAACCCAACCAGAATTTCAGCTTGCACAACCAATTAAAGCAGACCTGGGATCAGAATGAGACTAAGACATCCCCCCATGACTCAGCTCTTCCCTGACATTTGGCTCCCATGAAGCAGTAATCTGAGACATAAACCCTGGTCCCCCTTAACATCTCTCTAAGGTGAGTCAGCACATGCCACCCTCCTCAGCTGGGCAGCGCTCCCCAGAACACAGGCACCACCTGTCCCTTCGCCCCACATAAAGCTTTTGGAGAGCCCATAGGACTGTGAGAACTTTGCCTTCTGGAGGAATTCCACACACCCTCTCCACCCTGTAAGGAAGATTGCCAATCCAGACCCAAGGAGCAAAGTCCTAAAACAGGAGAAGAGAAGACTGGTTTCTGCAGAGGCTGGGCAGAGAAAGAAAGCCAGAGCCCCAACAGAAGCACCACCAGAAGCTGGTGTTATGGATGTCCTGGTCCGACTCCTGCAGCTGCTCATGCTGCTCCTGACGCTGCCCCTGCACCTGATGGCTCTGCTGGGCTTCTGGCAGCCCCTGTGCAAAAGCTACTTCCCCTACCTGATGGCMGTGCTGGCTGCCAAAACCAACCGCATGATGGAGAACAAGAAACGGGAGCTCTTCAGTGAGATAAAGAAGCTGATGGGAACCTCAGGGAAGGTGGCCCTGCTGGAGCTGGGCTGTGGCACTGGTGCCAACTTCCAGTTCTATCCTGCTGGCTGCAGGATCACCTGCCTGGACCCAAATCCCCACTTTGAGAAGTTCCTGAAAAAGAGCATGGCTGAGAACAGGCACCTCCAATATGAGCGGTTTGTGGTGGCCCCTGGAGAGGACATGAAACAAGTGGCTGATGGCTCCATGGACGTGGTGGTCTGCACTCTGGTGCTCTGCTCTGTGCAGAGCCCAAAGAGGGTCCTGCAGGAAGTCCACAGAGTACTGAGGCCGGTGAGTAGAGTGGGAAGGACTGGGGCCTGGGGCAGACAAATAGCATTGGCCACCCCAGAGTTCGGGGGCCCCAGGAGGGGGAACTGAGGTCCTAATACATTAGACGCCTGCTGCTGAATAAGAGATGTGACCAGGGTGGGCCCAA